ATGTTCACTTGTAAATGAGGTAACATCATGGCATTATTGAAATCTTTATTAAATGGTTCTCTAAACCAATTATTACTAGAAGTGAGAATGGGAAAATGTTATTTCTAACTACTGCATTTACTGCCAGTCAACTTTTGCATATTGGACAATACAAACATAGGACAATCTGTAAGCATATATATATATATATATATATATATATATATAATACTGGTTCTTATGTTATTGTTTAAAAATATAGTCTGCTTTAGTACTGTATGCTTTGATGCAAGTTACCTGTGTTTTGCTCTCTTTCAGTTAAAATTGGTCCAAAGCTCTCACTTGTGCAATGATATAAGGATATTTGACCTAAAAAGATCATCCCCATAAAAGCAGTAGTGAAAGTTTTTTGACATACTTGTTTAGCTGGTGCTTACTCATGATCCAGAATATTTGGCATTTATTTGAGATTGTTGTACAAATAAAAATATTTTAAAAATTTTTGCACTCAATTTTTAGACTTACCTTCTCCTGATATACTTGTCACTTTCTTTTGGGAAACATTGTTTTAGCAACTATTTTCCAAATCTTTGTCAAACCTGAGTTCATTGTTAAGAGATGGGAAAAATAAAATAGGCAAGAATCTTGGCTCTTAATGTAATGAGAGACACTTTTATAACAAACTATTATAAATAGATTGATTTGTGATATTCTAAAGGAATGCAAAGAGGAATATGGAAAAATATTGAAAGGAATCAGTCCTGTTATTTTGTTTTTTGGGGTCATTCCTGGTAGTGCCCAGGACTTTAATCCTAGCTCTGTGCTCAGGGATCACACCTGGTGGGGATTAGGGAACCATATGGGGTTCTGGGGATTAAACTGAGGTAAGTGGCATGTAAGTAAAGAACTTTACCAGCTGCATTATCCCTTTGGCTCCCTGTCCTGTCATCTTAAGGGTAATGGAAAGGTCTAGAGTGTATCGTGGAAGTTACTTAATTGAATATGGTCTCATAGACTGAGAGGGTGGGTTTACGTTAGGCAGAGAAATGTTACTGGTAAAAACTAAAATTATGAAAGACATGATTATTAAAATGGTGAGAAGTGGGTTCTCCCAGATAGCATTTGTAATATGAGTGGTAAGTTAGAACTCAGAAGTAAATGTTTTAATTGTTAGATCCAGTATTTAGCTCTTTTTTTCCGTAAGCAGCAAGGGAGATATGAAAATCTTTGACCTGGGAGAGTATTCATGACAGGATTTTTTATAGTCAACTATTACCACATTGTCTTATGTTCTCCTGAACTAGTCATTGGAGCTCTTTAAGGACCACAATCTTGAATTTTGATCTTTGTACATTCTCTGAGTACATTCTCTGGAGTTGCTGATTTGGTTAATACTTAGAAAATGTTGGTTGAAAAGTATGAGATTAATACCCAAGAATAGCTGAGATCAGCACCAGGAGGATTACTCCATAACTTAGAGGCCAGCCGGGTATCCTAGAGGAAAGGGCAGTTCAGATAGAGAAGGGAGCACCAAATAAAGGATGTTTGGAGGATCCTCCCAGGAGGGGAGATGCATGTCGAAAGTAGACTATGGACTGAACATGTTTGCCACTCAATGCCTCTTTTGCAGACCACAACACCCAAAAGGAGAGAGAGAACACAGGGGATTGCCCTGCCACAGAGGCAGGGGGGGATGAGGGGATGGGGGTGGGGGGATATTATCCATGGTGGTGGAAAATGGGCACTGGTGGAGGGATGGGTATCTGATCATTGTATAATCGAAACCCAAGCACAAAAAATTGTAAATCTACAACTGTAAAAAAAAAAAAAGAAAGAAACAAAAAAAAAATTAAAAAAAAATATAAAGCTTGGGGAGGGAGAGCAATAATGTATTATCTTTGATTGATCTTGACTTTAAATTAAAACTAGAATAAAAGTTTAGCACTTTAAAAAAAAAAGAAAATGTTGGTTGAGTGATCATGAGAGAGATGATTCAGAAGAGAATAATAACATCCTCTTATGGTGGTGATTTTATTAATTTGTTTGGGGGCATCATGCCCGGCTATGCTGAGGGCTTACTCCTGAGTCTATGCTCTGGAATCACTCCTGACAGTGCTTAGGAGACTTTATGTGATGTGAGGATTGAACCTGAGTTGACCATGTGCAAGCAGATGTCTTACCCTCTGTACTATCTTATCAATCCCTTCGTGATGATTTCAATCTTTTATGGGTGACAGACCCTTGTGTACTTCTGTTGAAATCTTCAAACCTCTCTCTTTGAAAGTGAAAATCCATTCATTTGGACTACAGTTTAATGGGACTTGCGTGCTTCTGAAACCAGTGAGAGTGTTTCTGGTTCAGAATCCCTTTTTAGGAAATTATTCCCAAGGATGTAGAATCACCACCAAACCTCACTATGAATAACTATGTCTCCTTTAGCCGTCTTTAAAGGATAGACTGTAATTGTGACTCATATTTTTATTGAGATCTTTTCATGCTAGCAGGAGTTAATCCAAATAACTGAACTATATGAAGAAAGAATAAGATGTCTAATGATTAAACAAAACTTTGCAGAGCCAGAGAGATAAAACAGGTGTTAAGACACTTGCCTTGCACCCGGCTGACCTGGGTTCGATTCCCAGCACCAGGTCTATGACCTGTTCCTTGATCTACCAGACCCAGGTTAAACACTGCTCCCCTCATCTTGAGTCCCAGCACCGTATATAGTTCCCTGAGCACAGAGCCAGGGGTAAGCCTTGAGTACAGCAAGGTATGGCCCACAGACAAAAGCAGAAAACAAAATAAAACAAGCCTTTGCTGGTTGTAAAAATAGACAGCAGGGCTAATTAAACCAGCAGTAATAAGCAGTTGTTTGAGGAGAATCAGATTCTTTAGTTTGAGTGGAATAAATGAGTTTGCAGCCCCAAGACTACTCTCAGGTTCTGTGATTTGTTAGAAATTTCTGACTCAACGGAACTTAGAAGATTTGTTGTACTCTTGGTTATGATTTAGTACAGTGAAAAGACTCAGACTTTCATCATGGGGTATATGTGGTAGCAGGGGGTAGAGTTTGGGAGAGACCCATGTAAGTTTCCAGGTTTCCTTCCTTTGTTCATCATTATAGGTACACTCCGTAGTGTAGCCGTGGTGAATGGAAGCACATGGAAAGGGCTGCCAAGCCAGGCAAACCCCACACTCCACCCTCTGAGCCTTGGTGGCCAGGGTTTTTATTGGGATTCAGTCACAAAGGTTTTCAGTATCCCTATCAGAGAGAATTTTTAAAAGGTCTGTGTTCATCTCCCAGGGACTGGTTCTTGAGATTGGTCTTTTTTGATGATGTGTGGGTTTCAAGCAGTCATGACCTACCCACTTTAACCTTTTTCTTTGTAACACATTACCTGCACAGTCATTCTTCTTCTAGCTTTTGTGTATCTTCCATGTCTCTAATAGTTGACCATCCCATGTACTGGTCCCTTCCTCTTTTGTCAAAATTGTGTAATCAGAAAGTTTATTGATGATGTGTGGGTTTCAAGCAGTCATGGCCTACCCACTTTAACCTTTTCCTTTGTAACACATTGCCTGCACAGTCATTCTTCTTCTAGCTTTTGTGTATCTCCCATGTCCCTAGTAGTTGACCAGTCCCATGTACTGGCCCCTTCCTCTTTTGTCAGTCATTGTGTAATCAGAAAGTTTATTTGGACTTAAGGACTTAATCTATGCTTTGCAATTTCATGAGATGAAGTGAAATGTATGCAAGTGCCTATTTTTAAATGTAAGTTCCTATTTAGTGCTTGATCTAAAAACAGCAAGAAGTAAGCAAACTTTTCGGTTTTGGTTTGCTTTTGGATTTTGGACTGTACTGGATCTGCTCTTGGTACTTGACAGTTGCCCCGGGCAATGCCTAGGGTGTGGGGTGTGGTGAACCACGTAGTACTGGGGATGGAGCCTGGGCTCCTGCATGCGAAGCATGTGCTCCAGCCCCAGGTAAGTATTTTTGAATGCTGCTATATACCAGGTTTATACTAGATGTGGATTTGGAGAAATAAGTCTCCAAATTTATTTTTGTAGCTTATTTTGTAGGGGAGAGAAAAAGGAATTTCTGTAAATCATGTAAGTTTCTGGGGAAACACTACCTATCTGGGGAGTCCAGTAGATTTGTGTGTGTGTGTGTGTGTGTGTGTGTGTGTGTGTGTGTGTTTGTGTGTGTTTCACATCATGTAACGGGCTGTTGTTGACGATGATTAAGGAAAGACTTCCCTAAGAGAGTCCCTTACTAGAGTTGAGTGACAAAGATCGTAGCTATAGCTGTGCTTGGAGTGTTTCACTGGTTATAATAGGCTTAGAAAGTGCCCTAGTCCTAGATAGAATATAGCTCTCTTTCTTAGGATTCACATAAGAGAAAAAGTGTTTGACTCTATATATCTGTTCTTTTTATTTATTATTATTAATATTATTATTATTTATTATTCTAAATCCACTCAAATGACATGTCCAGTTTATAGTAAGTACTAGTATTTTTGCATATTACTCACATATGGAGGAGTATATGAATGACTAACCATGTTGTGTCATAAAAAGTAATTATTTAAAACTAAAAAGAATACATATAGCCATTAAAATGTGAATATTACTTATTTTGAGGAGAGGACAAATGCTTGCCTTGATAAAATTGCATATAACTTTTTTTTCTGTACTTGAAAGCAAAAGAGCTTTAGAGATCATGGGTTCAGATTTGTCTTTGTACTTCTCAATAGAATTTGGAACTTCTAAGACTAAAAAACAGTGTTTAATTTTTTGCACAATGCAAAGAAACTGATTATAATTGAATTGGGAACATACTGTTACTTATTTTTGTGGTGGTAGGGATCCATTCCAGGACCTCCTATATGCAAAGCATGTTTTCGATCACAGAGTATAGCCATGGCTAGGAATGTATTGTCCAAGTGGATATGGGATAATTTCAAATTATTAACCTAAAGAATTAAAAAATATTTTATTTGTTCTTTTTTTTTTTTCCACAGCATTGCAGTGTTTCTGTCATCTCTGTACCAAGGACAATTTCACTTGTGTCACAGATGGACTTTGTTTTGTCTCTGTCACAGAGACTACAGATAGAGTTATACACAATAGCATGTGTATAGCTGAAATTGACCTAATTCCTCGAGACAGACCATTTCTGTGTGCACCGTCCTCAAAAAGTGGGTCTGTTACTACAACATACTGCTGCAATCAGGATCACTGCAATAAAATAGAACTCCCAACTGTTGGTAAGTTGTTGTGTAAGAATAGGTTTTGCTTTGTTTTTGATATTGCAAGGAAAGCAGTTAAACTGTACAATTTTAGAACTAAAAGGTGTCTTAGAAATCGCTACATCAGCTTGTTCAGTTTGGAGGCAGGGAGTAACTTGTCCGTAGTTACAAAGCTCTAAGGGTAGCCAAGATTCCCATTCTTGAGTGTATATTTGATGCCGGAGCTCCAAGATAGACTTTCTCTGAGGTCTGTCCTGCCAAAATGATTGCCTCTTAAGGGCAAGTTCTGACAAAGCTCATGTCCTACTTTGTCTTCAGAATGAATTTCTTCTTCCTGTTATAGCTCCAGCTTTTTAAGACAATTTATAATGGACAGGACTTAACAGCAGCATTAAAAATCCCAAGGCCTCATTTTTTAACTACACCTTGCTATAGGATCTTTATATATATATGTATATATGTATATATATGCATATGTATGTTGATATATATATGCATATATAATTGGGGTGGTTGATGTTTTTCTCATCATTTATTACTTACCAGGTTTCACAGAATTTGTGATGCAATATTGTATGTAATCTGCCATTCATAATCCAGTTTTATCACTTTGAGTTAGTAATGTCTTTTTGATGTTTTTCTTCTCTAGTGTACCATTCAGTCTGGGGTCAGTTATGTCCCTTTAATGTTGTTAAGTCTAACTCATTTTCTACATTCATCCATCAATGGGTACTCAGGTTGTTTCCATATCTGTACAATTGTGAATAGTATTGCCTGTTGTGAACATAGATGTGGGTATTTCTTTTAGATATACACTCAGATGTGGAATTATTGAACCATATACTGTCATTTAAATTTTTTGAGGATCCTTTTATCCTGTTTTATGTAGTGGTTATGCCAATCAATTTACATTCCCAGAGCGATAGCACAGCAGGTAGGGCATTCGCCTTACAAGCGGCCAACATGGCCAACCCGAGTTCGATTCCTCCGCCCCTCTCGGAGAGCCCGGCAAGCTACCGAGAGTATTCGATATGCCAAACACAGTAACAACAAAGTCTCCAATGGAGACGTTACTGGGCCCGCTCGAGCAAATCGACAATCAACGGGAGGGCCTTTACCTTTTTTACCTTAGTAATTACACTAAGTTCCCTTTTTTTTCCATATCCTTGCTAACATTTGTTGTCTTGTTCTTTTTTAGAAAATATTTTATAAGTTATTAAAGAGTGATTGAAATAATATTAGTTTCAGGTATGCGACCAAGTGATTAGATATTTGTACATATTGCAAAATATTCACCACAAAAATCCACTTAGGTACTCTAAACTTTTAACAAGCTAAAAAAGGATTTTTTTGTGTTATGAGAGCTTTTTCCTCTCACCCTCCAGTGATAAAAACTTTTAAGATCTACTCTCCTAGCAACTTTCAGATATGCAGTGAAGCATTCACTAAGGTCACTATGCTATGCATTATATCCCCATAGCTTAGTTACTTCATTATAAATAAGCTTGCTTATTAAGTTGTATAAATAGATTATATTATAAGGTATTCTGGCAAATTTAGGACTTGGAAAACTACATAAAATGTTAGGATTAGATTAATTAAGGCTGTGGTTTAAATGTCGGTCTTAGCACATGTGTTTAAATGTATTTTCTGCAAATCTCATATGCCTACTGTAATGATCAAAGAAATAGAAAAATGGGAAAAACTTATATTGATGATTGCTGAATTAATGGAAGAATGCCACATGCAACACTTGTGAAGGACTTTTGTCTTCATAAGTATTTATAGCATATGTAACAATTATAACATCAGAGTAATGAAGAATTGACTGACAAGAAGTGATCACAGTCACACAGTCCTCCCGTTGTTCATCGATTTGCTCGAGCGAGCCCAGTAACGTCTCCATTGGAGACTTTTGTTACTGTGTTTGGCATACGAATACATCATGGATAGCTTGCCAGGCTCTGCCATGCGGGCGAGATACTCTCGGTAGCTTGCGGGGCTCTCCAAGAGGGGCAGAGGAATCGAACTCAGGTCGGCCATGTTGGCTGCGTGCAAGGCAAATGCCCTACCGCTGTGCTATCGCTCCAACCCTGACAAGAAGTGAAAGGACCTCTAAATTCTATACCCATACCTTATGCTGAAGGACTGGGAGTAAGGTCAGACTATAGGAGCAGACTTTCAGTTCCCTTTGTATGTGTCTGGTTTCAGTGCTCAGAGAGGTAAACCACAATGCTCAGTTTTCTTCCGGAAGTTGGTCCAAGCACCATCCTCATTAAAGTATGAAGCTCTACTTTACAGTAGCTCACAAGACAAAGAACCAGGCTGGCCCACTGGTTATAGAGAGGCAGGTCTCCATCTTGTTCAGATGAAAGTAGCAAGTGAAACACTCATCATGACAGGGGAGTTCCCTAGGCAGTGGTCTGTCAGACTGGTTTTTCATGTAGGTATCTGCAATTCCAGTAGGATAGAGAAAACGATAATTCCAGAATTTCCCATTTCCATTGTTTGGGCATGAAATATCTAGAGTTTTTTAGTTTTTTTGGGGGGCCCACACCCAGTGGTGCTTGTGGTTTACTTCTGGATTTACGCCCAGGGATCACTCCTGGCAGGGCTCAGGGCTCATATGTGGTGCTGGGGATCAATGCCAGGTCAGCTATGTACAAGGCAGCACCCTATTCACTGTACTGTAGTCCCATGTACATGAAATATCTGAATGGGAACTCAGAAAACCTTGTGAACAGCTCACTTCATTTTTAATGCCAAACATATATAAATCAGTGTACCCAGGTCCCTGACAAACACAGTAGAAAAATTACAGAATGGGAAGTTTCAGTGGCTCAAAAGAAATAATCTGAATTGAAGAAATCAGAAAAAAAGCCACCATTTGACAAACAAATCACATAATAGGCCAAGACTTTCTCTATTTCAGTTCTATAAGGATTGATTACATTTCATGGTTAGAAATGAAATGACATGCAAACGGAAAGCTTGATTGATGAATCATTTTTTAAATAGAGTATTGTAAGTGAGCAGCAGACTGGATGCTATAATTTATTTGTTTATTATGTAGGTCTCTGGGCCACACCTGCCAGTGCCCAGGTCTTAACTCTTGACTCTGTTCTTAGGACTCACACCTGATTGTGCTGGGGAACTGACCATATGCTGCTCTGGAAATTGAACCAGGATTGTCTATTTGCAAGTCAAGTGCCTTACCCCTATACTATCTCTCCAGCCCCTGGATATTGTAATTTCATAGTCAAGTGTGTAACAGGCTTATGGCAAAATAACTTTGGGAAATTTTATTAATTCAGAGAAAAGACAGTTGGTGATGAGATAAGTAATAGAGAGCCTAGCTTCTTACAAACACATACAAAAAGAATTAACCTTTCAAAACTTTTTAAAATTAGATTTCTTTATAATTTATTACCAGTGAATATTTGTATACCTATTTTATATACCATGGGACCACATAAAAATATCTCAGGTGAAAAAGGGTCATGAGTGAAAAAGCTTAACCATCATCACTGGTATACCAGATAGACATCAGTGGTTCAAATGGGCTACATAAGACTTCCAGAAAGAATATGCAAGAGTTGACAGAAGAAAAATTTGAAAAACTGACTTTCCCAAATGCATATATTGAAAAACAGTGTCAATCTCAGGAATAAAGAGAAAAATTGTATTCACTTTCAGTACAGTTGAACACTGGTTACTTACAGAAAGGAAATAGTTGAGGTTTTCTGCTATTTTTTTTTAACCATGCCAGAAGCCGACAAAACATCTTATTTTTTAATCTGTTACATGGAATTATCTAGCTAACAGTTTTTTAGTGTAAAGTGTAAAGTGTAAAATCAGTAGCTGTCATTCAGTGATTAAGTATTCCATGCATAAAGAAACTCTTGAAATTATGGAGTCTTATAAGAAATCAGTTCAAATAAAGATCTTAAGAATGGGGAAAATATGATAGGAAAGAAATAGTGGTAAATTCTAATCAGTACAGTTCAGGATAAATGCTAAAATAATTCTAATTAATGTGTTCCAGACAGCGAAAAATGTCAATTAAGAGAGATCATAAGAAAAAAATCCTTGACTTAGAAATCCAAGTGGTTAAAATATACTAGAAAGCTTATACACGCAAATGCTATGTAAAAAAAAAAGCTGAGGCTGGAGAGATAGTACAGGGGCTAAAGCACTTGCTTTGTATGCAGGTGACCCAGGTTCAGATTTCTAGAACCCTTTATGGTACCCTGAGCCCCCTGGGAGTGATCCCTAAGCATAGAGCCAGGAGTTAAGTTCTGAGCATCACAGGATGTGGCCCAAAAAACAATTATAATTTCAAAATAAAATAAGGCTTGTATTTTACATGAAAAAATTGATAGAAAAATAATAAAATGTGAGTTGTGGGACCATAGATCATTTTTATTCATTTTTATTTTTAATTATTTTTGTTTATGTTGTATCTGTTATTTTGACTGCCTTATTATTCCTGACTCTGTGTTTAGTGATTATTCCTGGTGGGGCTTGAGACCATATGGGGTGCTCGAGAACAAACCTGGGTTGACAGCTTTCAAGGCAAGCCCTCTACCCTCTGCACTATTTCTCTGGCCTAATAATTTTTAATTTTTCATTTATTTGCAGCTATATATTTTTTCTTGTCTGACCTTGGAATAAGATAAGCCAAAATTACTTTTAAATTGAGCACGAGCAGGGGGGTGGGAAGGAGCGACTGTACAAAGATACTGATGACTGTTTTTCCAGATTATCAGTTTCTTTAGAGACCTGAGAGTGATAAATGGGTAGGTCCTTTCATGTCATTGGTAGCCCATGTTGTTATTTAGATAATGATGCAGGCTGCAGTAAGAGTAGGTTGATATTGATTTAGCTATTGTTCATAAAAGGAGGGGCAATGGGAAAAGACCAGATTATTCACTTGTTCTGGGTTGGAGCCCGAACAGGCTGCGATAACGAGGCTCTATGACCAATGGTAGTAATGGCCACTGCAGGAGATATGAAGGATTAGGAAATTGTGGATGCCACCTACAGCATATTTGTTGTTGTTTCACTTGAGGCCCTTTTCCAGGAAAGCCATCATCTGGCCTTGGTCCCGTGGAACTGGCAGCTGTCATTGCTGGACCAGTCTGCTTTGTCTGCATCTCACTCATGTTGCTGGTCTATATATGCCACAACCGTACTGTCATTCACCACCGAGTGCCAAATGAAGAGGATCCTTCGTTGGATCGTCCTTTTATTTCAGAGGGTACTACATTAAAAGACTTGATTTATGATATGACAACATCAGGTTCTGGATCAGGTAATGTCAATGTTTTTTCTTTTTCTTAAATCTTTTAAAAATCAACTGTATTATTTTATTAGTTGTCTAAATCAGTTGACTTAGTTTGTTAAAACTTGATATAATATGAACACTAGCTTTAAGCTTAACAAAGGTCTAGGTTTGTAAACCTGACTAGCTAGTTTAGTATACAAAATTTAAAATGTTTATATTGAAATACATCAAAAAATCAGCCACAGAGTTTGTATATAATTCAAAGCAGTCTCATTTATGCTATATAATATGTAATCTCATTTCTCTTATCACTGTAAGATAGAAAAAAATATGTACAATTCTGAGAATTGTAAGATTAAACGTGTTTAACTGAAGTAAATTTTATTGTAGCAAATCATGTTTTAAACGAAAGGGATTGATTCTTTTTACTTTTGTGTACTTTTCAAGGATACTAAGCAAAGAAGACCTCTATATTCTACAATCTTGCAATTTAACACTTGACTGGGAATCAGATCTAGATAGCAGTGTAACCTTTGTTCTTGATTGACAGCCTCTCCAACATAGACTAAACCATGTTTCCTCTTACGGCTCTTGTTTCCTTATCAGAAATGTGTAACAGATACAGAAGATAGTAAGAACTTAGGGTAATGCTTGGAACTTTTTTTTTTCATTTTTTATAATTTTATTTATTGAATCACTGTGAGAGCGGTTACAAAGCTTTCGGGTTTAAGTCTCGATCATACAATGAAACACCCGTGCCTTCACCACTGCCCATTCACCACCCACAAAAATCCCAGTATACCCCCATCCCACACCCTCCCCCTACCTGTGGTTCAGATGATTTTCACATTACTCTCTCTACTTTGATTACATTCAATATTTTGAAACCAGACCCACCATTATTATTTGGGATTTTACTCCAACACTCAGATCTTTTGAAATTCCAAAATTTTAACAATTAAATCTGGAGGGATTTCTGCCAAAACCTGCTGTGTTCCGAGATTTGTTCCTGAGTCTCTTGGATCATGGCTGTTAAGCATCTTGATAAGGAGCCAGGAAGGCCATTCTTGGGCGGCGACTCGGGGTCTCGTTGGGGCAGGGAGGAAAGGGCCGGCTCCACTCCCATCCGTGAGGCCCCGCATGTCTCGTCACCGAGGGCTCAAACCTGACTGTCCAATGGCCTCTGGTGGATGGCGGCCACCGAGCCGCCAAGGGGGAGCAGACAGAGGGACAACACCCTTTCCCCCCTGGGGTGGCCCGGCGACAGTAACCTACCGCCGGGGTCCGGACGCATTTCTGCCAAAAGCCGCTGGATTTCGAGATTTGTTTCTGAGTCTCTGGGATCATGGCTGTTAAGCAGTTCAATCAGGAACCAGAGAGGCCATGCCTCCAATTATATAGCTGAGCAGAAGGTGGTTTGTGGGTATGTCTCCCACATGCCTAACTTTTGGCTGTTTACTTTATTGGTAAACTTTGCCCCAAATTTTTGGGGTCTGGCCAAAGGCACAGCAGCAATTTTGGGGTATTTGGAAGTCTGAAGGCACCATCAGGCTGCTGATGCACTAGCCTCACAGGTACAGATTGACCTGCTGGCAGCACCATATGTTTGGAACTTTAAATGAGACGCACTATCCTTTGGAAAGTCTGTTTTGCATGGTGGCAGGAAGCAAAGCAGTGTGCTCATGGCTTATTCCTGGCTCTGTCCTCAGGGATAATTCCTAGAGGGCTTGGGGGATTCTGGGGATCAAACCTGAGTTAATAGTATGCAAGGAAAGGGCCCCAACTTCTGTACTGTTATACCAGCCCCTCCTCTGCAACGTCTTAATCAAATTTGAATAAGGCCTAGATTCGTGAACAAAGCAAAGAATTGAAAATACATGTATTTCAATAGCCAGAATCTGGAAAAAACCTGAGTGCCCGAGAACAGATGACTGGTTGAAGAAACTCTGGCACATTTACACAATGGAGTACTATGTAGCTGTTAGAAAAGACGAAGTCATGAAGTTTACATACAAGTGGTACTACATGGAAAGTATCATGTTAAGCGAAATGACTCAGAAAGAAAGGGATAGACATAGAAAGATTGCATTCATCTGGGGAACATAAAGGTAAAGGCCCTCCCGTTGATCGTCGATTTGCTCGAGCGGGCCCAGTAACGTCTCCATTGGAGACTTTGTTGTTACTGTGTCTGGCATATTGAATACTCTCGGCAGCTTGCCGGGCTCTCCGAGAGGGGCGGAGGAATCGAACTCGGGTCGGCCATGTTGGCCGCGTGTAAGGCGAACGCCCTACCCGCTGTGCTATCGCTCCAACATAAAGTAACAAAATAGGAAACTAACACCCAAGTATGGCAGAGATTAGTACCAGGAATTTTACTCAATGACCCGGAGGACAACCACACATGTTAGGGGAAGGGGGAGCTCAGAAAGAGAAGGGAACACCAAATAAAGGGTGTTGGGAGGATCCGCCCACGATGGGAGAGCATGCTGAGGGTAGACTGTCCACCAAGCATGATTGCCACTCAGTGCCTCATTTGCAGACCATGGCACTCAAAAGGAGAGAGAGGGAAGTGCCCTGCCACAGAGGCAGGGTGGGATGGGGGCTGGGGGGGGAGGGGATGCTGGGATCTGTGGTGGTGGGAAATGCACACTGGTGGAGGGATGGGTGTTTGACCATTGTATAATCGAAACCCAAGCACAAAAATGTGTAAGTCTACAACTGTACCTCATGGTGCCTCACTATTAAAAAATAAATAAAGAAAGAAAGAAAGAAAGAAAGAAAGAAAGAAAATACATGTATTTAATGAAAACTGCACTAATTTATTTTATAATCAAATAACTCAGTGGGACATTAAAGCAGAAGTGGTGACTGGGGTTAGGAAATTACTCTGAGCACAGAGTCACATCTGATGATCCAGAAAGTCCACATAATGAGAAATGTCTATTTTAAGAAAATGAGCATATGTTTCTATGTGTGAACATCTTTTCTTTTTTTAAAAAAAAATGCTGGTTTTGGATGCACTTCTTGAGGCTCAGGAAACCATTTGGGGTGCTTAGGGATCAAATTTCGGTCAGTTGCAAGGCAGGCAAGCATCCTGCCTACTGTACTACCACTCTGGCCCTCTGTAAACATCTTTTTATTTGAATTTGAAGAAACTGATTTCATGACCTGAAATCTTTTATAGATTTGTGGCTATATTTAGTATTGTGTTTTGTCCATGTCAGCTTGGGAACATATATATTTACATCAGAGCCTGGGTCCTGGGTCTCTTGACAGGTGTGAGACTGGAAGCATAAAAGATTGAGAGAGAAAACCTTAATTCTGAAAGTATCAGTCTTCGAGCAAGCGTGGTGGGGGACTGGAGAGGTGCTGTAGCACACCTTTATGGCACTGATTCGGGGAAAGGCCAAAGAGATCCTGAAGGTCGAACTCATGGTAGAAGTCACCCTATAACAAAAAAAATCTACAATAACAAGGACCAAAGTTACATAGAATCAGAGTGATACTGATCGTTTGGAATCAAGTCTTTCGGATCTATTCTCTTATTGCTAAGCTCACCCCCATGGGAAGTTAGGCTGGCTTGATGCACTTGGCAAGATAGTTTGCACCAGGCCTCCAGAGGAAAAGCCTGTCTGTAAAGGATGCAGAGAAACTGCTGCCTGGATGGCAGCTAGTTTCTGAAGAATACTTCCTATATTTGCCTTTGAAGATTTAGGACGTGGAGTACAGAATGGAATTACTTTTTTCCCCCCATTTTATAGACATTTCTATTGCTGTTGGGGTAGTCTGTTATCTGAGTCTTCCCCTCCTCCTCTCTTGCCTGGCCCTGTGAAAGTCATCATCTACATCATCTGCTGACTCTTGTGTTGACAGGAAGCTGGTGTGACACACCTTACTTAATCTTTACTTTGACAATAACGAATCCTGCATCGTGCACATCATTATGCTGTGAGGTTCAAATGAGATGAGATGTTTTTATGAAAGCACTTGGCAAATTGTACAGTTATGTCCAAGTGACAGGTATCACTTTTATTTAAAAACTATTCTGGGGGAAATATGACACGCTCTATCAGTTTGCTACACTGAACCACAGTAAACTTGGTAGAAGACCTCCTTTGCTGCCATGTTTATTGTGTGCTGCTGAATGGTCTCCACACTTAACCCAGACAGAGACAGCTTTCTTTAGACTGGTGGCAAAAAATACTCATTTCCCTGGTGTCTTCTTATGAAGCCCAAATGCCACCTTCTGCATGTGACTTGTGCCTGTGAGTAAACTCTCCACAAGCTATAATCTCTAGTTCTTCCACTCATTGAGAAAGAGCTAAAGTGGAACAGATTGTATTGGGAAGTGTTATGTTTATTTCTTGTTAGCATTACCATACCTGAGAGAAAGCCCTCTCAAAGACTGTGGGGACTAAAAGGAAAACAATGGAGAGCTTCAGCCTTGTGAAGCAACCAAATCGCAGGTGTCTGAGTTTGAATCTCAGCTGTGTCTCTGCCCCTAGTCAAACTGTCTTTGAATTGTAAAATGTATGTCTTTGCACTTGTGTACCGGTTTTGGAAGGAGTGAGTTTCTGCCACTAATACTCAGTCTTACTTGACCTGCTGTCCCTTTCCTGAACCCCCTTTTCAGAAGAAGTTATTTGTAACTTTTTCTGAAATGCCCCACCCCAAATCTTCCTTCTTTAAGCAAACAAAAACAGAAACTGTGGCTGCTATTATTCCCTGGATTGTTCACTCTTCCAGTGAAGCTTTTCCCCATTTTGGAAAGGAATACTCCAGGTTAATTATTCTTATGACTTGTTCATGCTTGTGAGCATGAACACCCATAGTTTACAGGGAGATGTAAGATGTTTACAGGGAGTTCTATAATGCACACATGTTGTTTGAGTCATTCCTCTGTTGTTTTCTGCATATTAGGTGCCATGGACCTTGTTTCCCTTTAGAGATTTTCTCTCCAGGAAAGCACAGAAAAGTAGAATGGAAGATAGAGCTCTAAATTAGGCCTGTTTATTTTTGTCATCAGAAGATTATTATTTTTTAAAAAATGCTCAGGTATTCCTACAGATTGTGGAAACCAGAGATAGATACTACAGTTCTAGATTTGGCTTTTTACTTTACCATGTATCTAGAATCCATTGCTAATGAAGGCCCATTGTATTTACTGGTTTTAGCATATCGAATATGCCATGGATAGCTTGCCAGGCTCTGCTGTGCAGGCGGCATACTCTCGGTAGCTTGCCAGGCTCTTTGAGAGGGATAGAGGCTTTTGGGGCTTCCTCTAATCGCCCTTGTAGGTGTTCCCATGGTTCAAACATATTTGAACCCTATCAAATATGGTGCGGCAATCCTGGAAGATGGGCATTAAGTGTCTTTTGATGTGTCCGGATAGCGTCCTGGAGCGTGGCAGCGGCTGGGTAGTGGAGGTAGTGGAGGTAGCTCATTGAGGTTTCTCGGGAGTTCAAGATGCCGCACTGTCTAACGTTCATTGATTTAAAGAAGGCCTTCAATTCTGTTGAAACGAAAGCAGTCATCGAAGCCCTAGCCAATCAGGGCATTCAAACTCAATACATCAGGATCTTTCATGAGCTGTATTACGGATTCACTACCAGGATCTCACCATTCTACAAAGGAGTGATCATCGATGTCAAGAGAGGGGTTCGGCAGGATGATACCATTTCACTGAAACTCTTCAGTTCCACCCTCAAGAACGCCATGTGACGACTGGAATGGGAAGGAATGGGAGTGAAGATAGAGGGTCAGCAACTACACCACCTCCGCTTTGCTGATAACATCGTTCTAATACACCGAACATTAGCCAAGCGACACAAATGCTGGCCAACTTTGATCATGAGTGTGGAAAGGTCATACTCCAGCTGAATCTCACGAAGACAATGTTTGTGAGAAACGGTCTCATTCCTGACATTTCTTTTGCTCTCAACAGAACGAACATATTTTTTCCGATGTGTACCTAGGTTGAGAAGTCAACATGATGAATGACCTGGCACCTGAGTTGCGGAGGAGGAAGAGAGCAGCTTGGAAACCTCCGGCTCTGGGCACATCTCTTACGCCTCAGAGACCTGGGCCCTATGAAAACAGGATGAGAACTCTATTTGGGTCTCCCAAACAGGAATCAAAAGAGCTATGCTTGGAGTATCACGTTTCACTCAAATGAGAGAAAGAATCCAGAGTTCCGACCTCCGTTGATGGTCAAAAATCAGGGATGCTGTCTTGTTTGCCAAGGTGTCAAAAATCAGATGGGCTGGACACGTAATGATATTTGGAGACGACCGCTGGACTAGAGCTGTTACCGACTGGGTTCCATGGGACGTCAAAATACCGCATGGCCTCCTACCTTCGAGATGGTTAGACTTCTTTGTCAAGACCCTAAACTATCGGTTTGAGGCTCTTCGTGTTCCTAGAATGAGCAGACGCCATTGGGCTACACTAGCATGCTACAGGGATGAATGGAAACATTACTGGCGCCCGCTCGAGCAAATCGATGAGTTAACGGATGTCAAGTGATCAAGTGATCGGTAATGAAGAAGGAAAAACGACCTTGCCCTATTAGTTTCTTGGCCACACTTTTTACATGAGTCCTGAATGCATTAGGCATTTTTATACTTCCTGTTTGCAGGTTCCCCTTCTTTATTAATTACCTTTCTAACTTCTAGATTAGTCTCCTGAAATTAACTCTTCAATATCTTAAATGAAAGTGACTCTTAAATGTAACGTAGTATATAGCCAGCCCTGCTTAAGAGTTTAAGGAAATATGGTAAATTAGTTTTACTAAACAGCATAATTAGAAAATGATTATACATAATACAGAGGAGCTCCTTGATTTACATAAGGACTTTTTACAGATGTATATTTAACTAAGTAGTCTCCTTGTAAATAAAAATAATTATTTATAATTGCTGACTGCAGGAGGTAAAGAAGACAGAGCAAAGCAAGTGTATAAGACCCATTTGGGCAACTTGGAGAAAAGAGAAAAAAAGAGAAAGACTTTTAATCATTTCAAAGTAAATATAGCATTTGAATTTGGAAGCATTTTACATCAGGGAGCCAAAGAGAAGAGATAGCTCCTTTTATTACTGGGTTAGTTTGTTGTAGGTAGCAATCCTAAATAAAGATTATGAGTTGCACAAATTTAAGTGTAGTAGACAGTATAAATAAAACACTAGTTTAGAACATATGGTACGCTGGTATTTTTATTGTTAGCGTCAGTATAATTTAAGATGAGGTCCTGAGTCCACAGAGGATATGACATTAAGTGAGTTGGAATAGTCCCAAATGTTGTATTGTTTAAATGTCAAGTAAATAAATCCTTTTCTGTAAGTGTGGCAGTGTTTTAAAATGTGTATTTTAGATGAGGGGAAGTTCAGTTGGTGAAGATTTAAAAAAAAAAAAGAACTCTCTTGTTATTGAGGTAAGTTACTAGGCATTTTTTTAAAAAATTTTATTTATTTATTTATTTTTTGCTTTTTTGGGTCACACTTGGCAATGCACAGGGGTTACTCCTGGCGGTGCTCAGGGGACCATATGGGATGCTGGGAATCGAACCCGGGTCAGCCGTGTGCAAGGCAAATGCCCTACCTGCTGTGCTATCGCTCCAGCCCCAAAGGCAGTCTATTTTCAATAAGTAAACTTTTGTCTTTAAATTGTTTTTGTGATCATTTTTACTTATTAAAAGTTTGGTCAGAATTCTGTGGGTTTTTTTTGTGTTTACTTATGTTTCTCCCATTAATAGAACCATTTTCAGGTTCATTTTTTAAAAGTAAGTTTAGGGGCTGGAGAGATAGCACAGCGGATAGGGTGTTCGCCTTGCGCGCGGCCGACCCGGGTTCGATTCCAAGCATCCCATATGGTTCCCTGAGCATCGCCAGGAGTAACTCCTGAACCCCTGTACATTGCCAGGTGTGACCCAAAAAGCAAAAAAAAAATAAAAGTAAGTTTAAAAAATATTTCTCCCCCTTGGGGCTGGAGTGATAGCACAGCAGGTAGGGCGTTTGCCTTGCACGCAGCCAACATGACCGACACAGGTTCGATTCCCAGCACCCCATATGGTCCCTTGAGCACCACCAGGAGCAATTCCTGAGTGCATGAGCCAGGAGTAACCCCTGAGCATTGCCGGGTGTGACCCAAAAAGCAAAAAAAAAAAAATTTCTCCCCATTTGTGACCCCTTGTTAAGTATTCCAACAGCTCTCATTGGTCATTGTGAGGCTGGGACAACTTTCTCTTCACTACTTGCTTAACATGTTCTCTTTCTGTTTTCTATCAGTTAGTTTCCTAACGCATTTCATTCTTTTCCTTCTTTACTGATTGCTTGCATTGTCCTTCTGCCTAAACACTTCCCTTTCTTTTGCTCCTTTCCTTTTTCTTGCAGGCCAACTAATTTCAGCTTATTTGATAAAGCCTATCTTTACCAATGAGGCAAGAACTTCTGGATTCTTTTATATGTTTATCCTCTTTCCTTTTTCTTTGTGAATTCCTGTTTTGCAAATGTTTAAATCCCAGTCAGATTGTAAATTTTAATTTGATTTGAGTGTGGGAGAGGGAGGGGTGTTGGGACATATACCTGGTAGTGCTGAGTGGCTTCTCCTAGCACAGTGCTTGGGGGATACTTCCAGCAGTGCTCAGGGGACCATGTGATCACAGGTTTTGAACATTTGCTATTGCCAAGCATGTGCTCAACCCCTTGAATTATGTCTTCAGCCCTGAGATCGTACATTTTTCAAAGGTGGAGCTTAAGGAACCTTTCTGAGTCATTCTTTAATACCTGGCATGGTGTTAGAAACACAAATATTGAATATTGTTCTGATACTATTTACTTTTATTAAGGTTTGCCATTGCTTGTTCAGAGAACAATTGCAAGAACTATTGTGTTACAAGAAAGTATTGGCAAAGGTCGATTTGGAGAAGTTTGGCGAGGAAAGTGGAGAGGAGAAGAAGTTGCTGTTAAAATATTTTCCTCTAGAGAAGAACGTTCATGGTTTCGTGAGGCTGAAATTTATCAAACTGTAATGTTGCGTCATGAAAACATCTTGGGATTTATAGCAGCCGACAATAAAGGTCAGTAACATTTGTTTCTGTGAAGATAATAAACAGTAAAATTTGGTGAGAAATAGATATTTGTCATAGATTAGACCCATTTTTTCAAATGTAGCAGAAGCTTTTAGAAGCAGGAACATCTTAAAGATTTTGACTCAAGATATGCTCCTAAACTTAATTGTTTTATGAAATATGAAAGTACTTTTCTTGTTTTGGTTTTGTTATTTTGATTCTGGACACTTAGCTATTGAATAGTTAAAATAGAGAAAAAATGATCAACTCAGGTTACTCCAAATTTTGAGGTAGGATTGTGTCTAGATATTGTTTACCTTTTGTTTCTTTATGATCATTTAGGGAATAGGAAAAATATGAAATAACTTTCGGTGCATCCATGTTTCAAGTCCCAAGTCTCTCTAAATAAAATAAACTCAACACTTCCTTGCTTGTGACATAGAGTCATGAGGCCCAGCGTTAGATGAGGTGCTGAAAGAGGCCCAGGAGGCCCTCCAGGTGTGTAGAAGCCTCAAGCTGTGACTTTAGGCTGTTACTTCCAGTCTTGGTTTCTTTGCTTGTGTCCATATTCCTATTTTTTTCGGGTTCTGTTAGAAATTCCCGTTAGAACTCAACTTTCAGGATACCTACCCTGAATCCAGGGTTATTTACTGTCTTTACTACTTTAAAAAAATACTGCTTTCTTATTTAGAATTGTAGTCATCTTTTTTCTCCACTTCCATCTCATTTTCTCCTATGAACTTATTTCTTCGAAATAGTGTTTAGTCCTTATTGATAATATGAGTAATCTTGCCATTTTTCTTCATGCTTCTATAAAGTAGCACTGTTGTCCCATTGTTCATCGATTTGCTCGAGCGGGCACCAGTAATGTCTCCATTGTGAGACTTGTTGTTACTGTTTTTGGCATATCGAATACATCATGGGTAGCTTGCCAGACTTTGCTGTGCAGGCAGGATACTCTCAGTAGCTTGCTGGGCTCTCCTAGAGGGGCGGAGGAATCGAACCTGGATCATCCCAGGTCGGCCACGTGCAAGGCAAATGCCCTAACGGCTGTATTATGCTTATTTATTACAAGCGTTTATTCTTTATCTTTTACTTATAGAAAATTTCCAAAATAAATCAGAGAGTAGTGTCGTGAATGAGTCTCATCCCTGCGTCCCAGGAATTATCCTCTCACTCCAGCCATACTTGATCTCTGATCTCTTCTCACCCACACTGCTCTATCCAAATTTGTTGTAGCCAATCCCAAATAACATCTTTTCATCCATAGATATTTTCAGTTTATATCTTTATCCCATCCCTTCACTGTCATCCCATTAATCATTGATTTACTCAAGCGGGCTCCAGTAGCATCTCCATTTGTCCCAGCCCTGAGATTTTAGCATTGTAAACTCTATGCTCTCTCTTTGTGGATGTGGCACGCCAGATGGATGTCCTTGGGCATAATGGTGACGCGTTTGACGGGGAATGCGCAGAGGTTGGTGTCCCCGAAGAGTCCCACCAGGTAGGCCTCGCACGCCTCCTGCAGTGCTATGATGGCCGAGCTCTGGGAGTGCAGGTCGGTCTTGAAGTCCTATACGATCTCGTGCACCAGCTGCTGGAACCGCAGCTTGCGGATGATGGACTTCTGGTAGTGGCGGATCTTGTAGCGCCGCAGTGTCGGGCCAGTATCGTGTGGCTTCTTCACACCGCCCATGGCTGGAACACTCTTGTGGGCTCCCTTGGTGGCCAGCTGCTTCTGGGGCGCCTTCCCGTCCATTGACTTGTGTGCCGTCTGCTTAGTACGAGCCCTCTTGTTTTTCCCAACTCAGCTGGAGACTCCTTCAGGGTTAGGGAAATGAGACTCATTTTAGCTACTGTTGTTGGCATGTTGGTACATTACAGGTGGCTTGCAAGGCTCTGCCATGCGGGCTGGATACCCTCAGAAGCTTTGCTGGGCTCCTTAATTTTCTTTATATTATGTGTAACAACCAGTCTCACAATTTATTGTGAGATGTTACTGGTGCCCAGGAGTAACAGGAGGACGGTGACAGTGATTATGTGTAATTTTTTTATGAAACATGGCACTACCATTATTTATCAGTGTTTATAATATTATCAAGTATCTACTCAATTTCAGTTTTCTTCCCCATTTTTTTATTAAGCAATTTTATATTGGGCTGGGAAGTTATTTTATGGCCTTGGCTTTGATCCCCAGCACCCAAGCCTTCTTTCCCTCTTCCTCCAGCACTGCTGAATGTAGGCTAGACACTCCCTGGACCAGAGTAGGATTGTATTCTCGGCTACAGCTGGGCAGAATATTCCCGAAATTAGCCCCTACCCTCCCCCACCCCTGGAAAGGCAGCCCTTATTAAAAATATTTATTTTATTGCACCCCTCTCTCCATTGCATTTGGGTGACAGTCATCATGAGTTCCTTAAAATTGGTTTTCCTTCTTCATTTTTTTTTTCCTTCTGGTAACTATTGAAGAAATGTGATTCTTTGTCTATAGGGTTTATCATAGTCTGGGATTTGCTAATCAAATTGCCTTACTGTGTCTGAATTTCCCTCTTGTATTATTTGAAAACTGGTAGATTTTTTTTTTAATTCTCTTTTTTCCACTTGGACCATACTGAACAAGTTTTAGTAGCTCTCCCGGCTCTGTTTTAAGGGGTTGCTCCTGAAATGCTTGGGGACCATGTAACGCCGGGAATTGGTCCCAGGCCTCCTGCGTGCAAGTTTCAGACTATTGAGCTCTTTTGAGGTGGAACCCAATGAATATTTTACTGGTTTCCCAGATATATTAACTACTTTTTGTATGTTGCAGGCTTTTATCTATCTTTGATTACATCAAGATGTTTGTCATAGTTCATGAACTCTTATGGTGGTGAGATTATTGGTAGCTGTGATGGATGTAGGTCGTCACTATCAGTGGCTAATATCAATTCACTGTTACTTAATTTAGCAATGAAACAAACAGAAACAGTGATCTTTGTCTGACCAAGCTTGTTTTTTTTTAATTTTATTTAAGGGGGCTGGAGTGACAGCACAGCAAGTAGGGCATTTGCCTTGCACATGACCAACCCGGGTTTGATTCCCAGCATCCCATGTGGTCCCCCGAACACCGCCAGGAGTAAGTCCTGAGTGAAGAGGCAGGAGTAATCCCTGTGCATTGCTGGTTGTGACCCAAAAAGCAAAAAAAAAAAAAAAATTATTTAAGGGTGATTTACAGTATTGATAATGGTAGTGCTTCATGCATAAACCAGTCCAACATTATACCCTCTTGTGGAGCGCAGAGCATCAGCTTCTCTCCCCACCCTTGCGTTGTCTCAGTGTTTCCTCCCCTACCCCCTCACACCCCTCCTAGCCCCCCACAGCGATAGGCTTCTGACCGAAAACCAGTTCTTAAGTTGCTGTTGCCTTTATGTGTTTGTTAGTTTCCTTCTGTTTCTTTTATATCCCACCTATGAGAGAGATGATTTTGTGTCTGTGTTCTTCCTTCTGATAACTTCACTCAGCACGATGTTCTCCATACCCATTTATGTAGCAGCAAATTGCCAGATTTCTTCTTTTCTTTTAGTGAGTACTGTCAAATTTTCTTACTGTTTTGTCTTTGGCACCATTTAGCTTTCTAGCTCAATTTCTTTTTGGAGGGGCTTCCCCAGAAGTGACCAGGGTTGTGGGGGCCTCTCCTAGCAGTGCTGTGTTTGTGCCTGGTGGTTCAGTGCTCAGGCTGAAAGATGTGCTTCTCAGACCCCAGGGTGATTGGGGATGCACCTGGCTATGTTCAGGGACCATGCAAATATTGGGAACCAGCCTGGAACTCACACACCAAGACCTCCAGCCCTTCGAGTGCTTTCCCCCACTTCCTCTCACCCAATTCTTCAGTCTTTCTTATACTCTGTGATCTTTATGTTTGTGTCTTTTTTCTTTTTCCTTTTTTTAAAATTTTTATTTTGGTGAGGTGGGAATTGAATTTCTATGTGCAAAATATGGACTCCAGCTCTTTGAACCATCTCTCCAGTTGATTGATTTCTTAATAGTTAACTTGTTTTCTGGGTTGGCCATGTTGGCCGCTTGTAAGGCGAACGCCCTACCCGCACAGCGGGTAGGGCGTTCGCCTTACAAGCGGCCAACATGGCCGACCCGAGTTCGATTCCTCCGCCCCTCTCGGAGAGCCCGGCAAGCTACCGAGAGTATTCGATATGCCAGACACAGTAGCAACAAAGTCTCCAATGGAGACGTTACTGGGCCCACTCGAGCAAATCGACGATCAATGGGAGGGCCTTTACCTTTACCTTACTTGTTTTCTGAAATTTTGTATCTTACTGATTCCTAGGAAGTCTCTCATTCCACAAATAATAATTGCTTCCTTAAAGGATCTGCCCACCATTCATGGTTCAAACACTACCTTGGTGATGACTTCCAAGCCTATATTTTAGGACACAAATTTTACTCAGTTGCAGTGTGTTCTAGGCTTATTTCAAGCTGTGAACACACTGACACAAAATGCTGCTTTGTGGCCTGTATTTATATTGGTTTGGGCAGCAGCAGAAGCCACCAGGCTCGACACTGCCATCTTGTGGTCGTTTTGGGGACTAGCTCATCTACTGTTCTTCCCTACACTGCCCTCCTTCTTTCCTTGTCAGGGAACCTTGATTCTGCCCAGGACTTAGCCCCTTCTCCCCAGCTCACTTTTTATTTATATCTACTCTCTTAATTTAGTTGATTCCCCCTCATAAAACCCTTTATATGTGCACAGCCTCATAATAGCGTTCCTTCTGCCTTCCTTTTCATCTACTTCAGAGAAATCTGCCTTTCTTCTATCAGTCATTATTCCTATTTTTGGTACTTGTAGGCTTTTTCAAATTTAACTATGGCTAAAAAAGCATGTAGAAAAGCTAGTGATACACCTGTATCAAAAGAAGGGGTATAAAGTTAAACAGTTTTAAAAAAATCTTAACAGCCTTGCAAAGTAAGGTATTTTTATTTATAAAGAAAAACAGAGTGGTTACTAAAAATCATATTTGAGGTCACATGGTCAGTGACAGCCAGGCCTTAGATACCAGCCTGGGTCAGTGACTCCCAGTCTGCCTCTCTTCACTGACTAGTTTATACTGCCTACTAGTATATTATTATGCTGTGTGTGTGTGTGTGTGTGTGTGTGAGAGAGAGAGAGAGAGAGAGAGAGAGAGAGAGAGATGGTTAATCATAGATAAGATTTATGAAATGGTAGTTTTCCAACTACTTATAGTTTATACAGGCTTTTGTGAGCTAACCTAGCCTAGAAGCCTAGCCAAAACCTTTACTACAATTCCTACAGTTAGAAAACACATTTCAGATTTATGAATCTGTTTGCTAATGAACTTCTGGAATGCACATGCCTGTTTGTTGATGTTTGGCATTATTACCTTGTGCAAATCTGGGTTCTGGCCCAGCTCTTTTCTCCTCCTGATATTGCATTTTCTGTCTCCTTTTCCCCGTGTGTCAGTGGTGCCACTGTTTTTATGATTTTCAAAGCTAGGAACTATGGAGCTGCAGTCATCTTCCCTGGCTTCCTCTTTTCTTATAGTGAGAAGTTAATGCACAGTGTATTAAGAAAGGCTACACTCTGCATCTGTCCTTGCGTTTACTCTGTCCCATTTCTGCTGCCATCCACCAGACCCAGGTGCACCTCCTTCCTCTCCCTTTGTGCAGAAACAACCACTGACATCTGTCCTGGGTCAGGCAGTTCTCTTAGGCGTCCCAACTAGGTTACTATCTGTGTATATTCAGGATCACCTTGTTTGAACAGTGGTTTCTTGCCTCTTAAGTAGCCTTATGAATAGGTCACCTACTTGTAGGGTCTAACACAATGAGTTTTCAATTTTATTACACTTGCACACTGGCAGCATTCAGCACAGCTGTCCACAGACCTATGGTTGATAATTTCTGATTTAAGCAGAGTCTCTCAGCATGAGGTCATATGGCCCCGCAGGGAACCCCAAGGATATTGGGGTGGAGGGGGGAGGTTGATAGGTGATGTCTTGGTTAAGTTTCTAAGAGCTTAACATCCTTGAGGAGTTCTTGGAAACTGACCCTAAGCAAAACAAGTGAAAGTAGGTCCTCAAAGTTTTGTTGAACATTTACTAGGATTACTTTTTCTTATCACTTCTATGAGAAGTGAAGCAAGGTTGAATGAAGCAATGTTACTTAAGAATTTTCTGTAAGTCTCAGTGACTGTGTTACCAAATGACTTCTCCATTCTTCTATATACATGCTCTTTTCACATCTTAGCCAGTCTTCATTATAATTATTATTTCCAATTGTCATAGCTTTATTGGACTGGAGTGATAGCACAGTGGGTAGGGCATTTGCCTAGCATGGGCTGACTTGGGTTCGATTCCTCTGTCCCTCTCGGAGGGCCCGGCAAGACACCGAGAGTATCCCGCCCGCCTGGCAGAGCCTGACAAGTTCCCCGAGGCGTATTCGATGTGCTCAAAACAGTAACAAGTCTCACAGTGGAGACGTTACTGGTGCCCGCTCGAGCAAATCGATGAACAACGGGAGGACAGTGCTACGGTGCAATAGCTTTATTAAGCTATGATTCACATAATACAATTTACCTGTTTAAAGTGTAACTCAACGGATTATCATATGTTCACAAGGTTGAGTTGACGAGAACTCACAGGAATTAGATCATTGTCACACCTTAAAGAGCAGTTGTACCCTTTTTGCAACCAGTCCTCGTTTACATCCCAAACTCCTTAGCCCTAGCTAACGACTTTCTATCTCCAGATTTGCTTTTCTGCACATTTTATATGATACATGATCTTCTGTGATTCTTTTACTTTCTCAGTGTGATCTGTGTGGTAACAAGTAGTGAATTTTGCTCATTTTATGACTAATATTTTACTGTGTAGATATACCACATGTTGACTGATATCTCTTGGATGTTTACCTGGCAGTGGGATGGAATTATTGGATCCTGTAGTAAGTCTGAGTGTTTGAGGTGCTGATATACCACTGTGCATTTCAGTAGTCTGGTGAAGTTTTCAAACTTTCCATATTGTTTTTGTTATGGAGGGCACACAGTGAAAATTACATAAATGAGGATCAGAGCATGATACTAGGGGCCAACCAGTGGGACACAGAGACCACAGGAAGGCAACCCAGTCAGAAGGGGCCACATTTGGTAAAAGGTGAAGAAAGGCTATCTAAGAAAATATGAATATATTACACATTCAAAATATACATATATATATTCCAGAATTTATGGTACTGACATTGCAGTCCTGTGATTTATGATTGAGATAAAATGTGATCACAAATCACAAATCATCCTGTTAATCGTCGATTGCCTTGAGCAGGCCCCAGTGACGTCTCCTTCATCCTAGCCCTGAGGTTATATTCAAGGCTCTTTAGGAGAATGAGACCCATCATTGTTACTGGTATTTGGCATATTGGGTACGCCACGGGGAGTTTGCCAGACTCTGCCGTGTGGGCAGGCTACATTCGGTGATCACTTTTGAAAAAAAAAAAAGTGGAGGACAGTGCTACGTGTTCTTCAGTGTTCTTCAGCCCAACTGAAATTTGTTACTCTCCTTTGCAGACAATGGTACCTGGACTCAGCTCTGGTTGGTTTCCGATTACCATGAGCATGGATCTCTTTTTGATTATTTGAATAGATACACAGTTACTGTGGAAGGAATGATAAAACTTGCTCTGTCTACAGCAAGTGGACTTGCACATCTCCACATGGAGATCGTTGGTACCCAAGGTAACAAGCAATCTTGCTTGCTAGGTTAGCTTTATGTTCTCATGAATTTCATGAATCTCATGTCTCTTCAGAACATTTTGGCAACATTTCAACCTAACTGGAGCTAATTAACACTAATATTTTGTTCGTTTCTTGGGCTGCTTCTGTCCATGCTTAGGGGTTACTCCTGGCTCTGTGCTCAGGAATTACTCCTAGCAGTGCTCAGGGAATCATTTGGGGCGCATGGGATTGAATCCAAGCCAAATGCATGCAAGGCAAGTGTCCTACTTGCTATACTATCTCTCCAATTCCTCAAGTGGCTTTTTAGATAAGAATATTTTACCTTTTGTTGAAAATCTCAGAGTTAGGAATCTGGAGGTGGGGGGGTTGTATAAGGATTCTCTGTTAAACAACAGTCTTCGAGTTGTTAGACGTACTTTTTTTTTTTAATACCATCTTTTGGAGCACATTGGCATCTTTTGGTGTGCTTATTCACTAGAAATTGTTTACCAATGCTCCAGTATTCTGGTGAGAGGGTCTGAAGTGCTTTGCTGTTGGGACAGAAAGAGGCTTTTGAATGTAATAGTGAGAATTATGATTGAGAAAATCTTTTAAGCCATTGCGTTTAGTTCTGTGTTGATTTTTTTTTGTTTTTTTTTTTTTTAAAGGGAAACCGGCCATTGCCCATAGAGATTTGAAATCGAAGAATATCTTGGTAAAGAAGAATGGAACTTGTTGTATTGCAGACTTGGGACTGGCAGTAAGACATGATTCAGCCACAGACACAATAGATATTGCGCCAAACCATAGAGTGGGAACAAAAAGGTATACTTTTAAATAAGTGGCATTTATTGTGTTCTAAATATCACTCCTTTTCCTTCTTACATATATTTCCTGAAGTTCAAGTTGCTTTATTAGATTCCCCTCAGATCTCTTGGTCTTGCCTGCTATGAAGCCAAACTCTCTGCTGATATAAGCGGCCCTCCAGAAAATAGCTTCAGTAGGTACAGGACTTCAGTGACATGGGTAGCTCATGATTATTGGGAACCTACTATTTACCCTCATTTTAATGAGTCTAAAATGTACACATTTGTAATATCATTTAATATTCTCCTCCGTTACTTTGCCATCAAGTCCAACTATTTTCAGAATTTCTGTCTCCTTGGATATCTCACATGTCCATTATTCTGGAGCAAATACAGTTTCCCAAACTTATACTCAATCATCCTCATAAGAATCTTTTTCTCACTGAGATGTCCTTGCCAAGGGCTCTCCTAGCACATTGAGTTTGAACTAATGAGGCTTCACATTGTCCTGTAATGTATTTATTTGTCTGTATATTCCAATCGCTTGCAAGCTGCTTGGGATAGCTTCGCATTCTCAGTACCCATCCTGGTGTAGGTAGCACCTATTATGTAATAGGTCCTCAGTAAATATTTGATGAATCCCTGAGTCCTAAAAAGAGTCTAACTATGTAGGTGTCACTGCCCTCAGTTCAAAGATGAGGTTAAGTAATGTTATCAACTACCAAAAAGCTGGCATTTGAACCAGACCTTTCTGAATCACAGCCTTGTTCCATGTTTCACAGCATTCTGCCTCAGTAATCTTAGAACTGCTGCTTTGACGTTGGATGGAACTAAGCTCACTTGAGTTACTGTTCACTCAAGTGAGCTTAGTTCCATCTAAGCTAAGATAATCTAATCTAAGCTAATCTAATCTAAGCTAATCTAAACTAAGATCATAATGCAGAGTGCATGAAATTGCTCTTTTGGTTTTGCATAGGTTTTTATTGGTATCATAAATTATTGTGGACATGTATTTTTTCTTGAGACTAATATGATCTCAGTATATATATATATATACATATATATATACACACACACAGAGATATATATATATATATCTCACTTGATCACTTGACATCCCGTTACTCATCGATTTGTTTGAGTGGGCGCCGGTAATGTCTCCATTCGTCCCTGTCGTGTGCTGGTGTAGTCCAATGGTGTCTGCTGACTCCAGGAACACGAAGAGGCTTAAATCGTTCATTCAGGGTCTTGGTGAAGAAGTCTGACCATCTCGTAGGTGAGCGGCCAAGTGATCTTTTGATATCCGATGGAATCCAGTCGGTAATGGCTCTAGTCCAGCGGTCGTCTCCAAATCGCATTATGTGTCCAGCCCATCTGATTTTCGATGCTTTGGCAAACAAGACAGCGTCCCTGATTCTTGATCGTCGACGGAGGTTGGATCTCCAGATTACTTCTTTTACTTGAGTGAAGTGTGATATTCCAAGCATAGCTCTTTTGATTCTTCTTTGGGAGACCCAAATAGTGTTCTCATCCTGTTTTCGTAGGGCCCAGGTCTCTGAGGCGTACGTTAAGGCAGGAAGAACGGTGGAGTCGAAGAGATGTGCCTGGAGCCAGAGGTTCTTTCTCCTCTTAGATGTTTCTTTGACACTCTTGAAGGCGTTCCAAGCTGCTTTCTTCATCCTGCACAACGCAGGTGCCAGGTCATTTGTCATGTTGAATTCTTGACCTAGGTACACATAACTGCTGCATTGGAGATATTCGTTCCATTGAGAGTGAATGGAATGTCAGGAACGAGTCCATTTCTCATGAACATTGTCTTCGTGAGATTCAGCTGCAGTCTGACCTTTCCACACTAATGGTCGAAGTTGGCCAGCATTTGTGCTGCTTGGCTAATGTTTGGTGTTATTAGAATGAAGTCATCAGAGAAGCAGAGATGGTGTAGTTGCAGATTGTCTATCTTCACTCCCATTCCTTCCCGTTCCAGTCATTGCATGACGTTCTCGAGGGTGGCACTGAAGAGTTTCGGTCGATGATCACCTCCTTGTAGAATGGCGAGATCCTAGTAGTGAATCCGTAATACAGGTCACAGAGGATCCTGATGTACTGAGTTTGAACGCCCTGTTTGGCTAGGGCTTCGATGACCACTTCAGTCTCAAAAGAATCAAAGGCCTTCTTTAAATCAATGAACGTTAGACAGAGTGGCGTCTTGAACTCCCAAGAAACCTCAATGAGCTTGGTTATCTAGTGGATACGGTCAATTGTGCTGAATCCTTTTCGGAACCCAGCTTGCTTGCATGGTTGTCCTTCATCTAGTGTTCTGCCAATCCTATTCAGGATGACTCAAGTGAACAGCTTGTAGATGACGGATAACAGGCAGATCAGGTGATAGTTGCCAATGTCATGGATGTCTCCCTTCTTGTACAGTAGACTGGTCCTGCTGGTTTTCCATTGGGACGGAACCTTGCATTCAGACAGGTAGCGTGTGAAGAGCTGAGCCAGTGTCTTGATGAGTACTGACGGCAGATTCTTCAGGTGTTCAGGACTATATATATAATATATATGTGTGTATATATATATATTATATATAATGGGGAACTTTTCTCTGAGTCATTTTTACAACAGCAGAACAATGTTGAAAGTGGGAAGTCTTTTAAAGCTAATAATGATTATTTTTAAATCATTAGAAGTAAAAGCACATTGTTGGAAGTCAAAAAATAATATACCTGTCATTCCATAAAAAAATAAAATGCTGGATTTATTTTTTTTAGGTACATGGCCCCTGAAGTTCTAGATGATTCCATAAATATGAAACACTTCGAGTCCTTCAAACGTGCTGACATTTATGCAATGGGCTTAGTGTTTTGGGAAATAGCTCGACGATGTTCCATTGGTGGTAAATTTCTTTCCTCTTTTCCAACAGTTTGTCATGAATAGAAGTTGCTCAAGAATTGCCTTTTTATTGAATGGAATTATACACATGAATATGAATAGTCTAAAATTATGTCTGCTGGGTGTACCAAAGAAAATAGAGAAGTAAAACCCTGCAGTATGGAAAGTCACCTACTTCATCCTGGCATCCAGCTTTATCCTTAAGCACAGCTTTATCCTCTCATGTTTATTTCCATTTGAATATTGGGAACCATCAGAAACAAATCACTTAGTATCTTAGAATGACAGCTATTTGACAGACCAGCTAGTAATCTGTTACTAGCACATATTTGGGTCAAACGGATTTTTTCCTTTTTGGCTTCTAGTTATTTTCTTCTGCTTGTTAGCTAGAAATTGCACGTGCAGAATACTTTCACACTGTTATTACATACAGTATTTTTAAAACAGTTCACCTTTTCTCAAGAATCTCATCTTTCAGGGTCCATAGTTGCTAAGACTCAGGTCTAATGTTTTTGAAGCAGGAATAGAATGTGCTCTGCATTGTAGAAACTAAGACAGTTTTTATTTGCTTTGTTGCTGTTATTTTTTGGGGGTGCTTGGGGAACCTTGTGGTGTCAGAGATTGAAAGCTTGTTTAGCCTTTGAGCCAGTCTCCCTAAGGTTTTGCTTGTTTGTTTGTTTGTTTTTATTTAGGGGCTGTACCTGACAGTGCTCATGCCTCGTTCCCAGCTCAGTGCTCAGGGATCACTCGTGGCAGTGCTGAGAAATGAACTCTGGCCTCCATCATGCACAGCTTTCCCTCAGTCCTTTGGGTTATCTCCCTGGTCCTAGGACAGATGTAAATAGAGACAGACTTTGTAGAAATCTCATTCAGTGCTAGTGTATATCTTTACACCAAGTGAGAGGCTGTGTGTTCATGGAATTAGAAGTCCTCATGGCTTGCACATTAGGTTCTGGTGCAAGGTATTGTTCTGGTTGTCACAGCTCATTGTCAAGATAATTGAAGTGGCCTTTGCTGATACAGAGTTCCAGGATGTGGCCTCAGCAGCTGAGAGCAGGGAGATGAATGTGGGTGCAGCTGTGGCCCATTTGCTGTCTGCTCAGCTGAGTCTGGGAGCCACTCAGACTAGGTGGTCCTCCTTGTCTGCTCTAAAAGTGATGTGGCATTATCTGAGTACAGCTTTCCAAACAAGAATTTGTTTCTTTTTCCACTTAGGAATTCATGAAGATTACCAGCTGCCTTACTATGATCTTGTACCTTCTGACCCATCCGTTGAAGAAATGAAAAAAGTAGTTTGTGAACAGAAATTAAGGCCAAATATTCCCAACAGGTGGCAGAGCTGTGAAGTGAGTATTTGCTTTGGATGCTATACACTTTTCTAAAAAAGTCAGCTTAGTAAGTGGGAATTTGCTACTCCCTTGTAGGAGAAACACACAGGCATTCCCTCTTTCATGGCAGTAAGAAGAAACACAATAATTTGATTTTCATGTTCAGTTGTAATGGCATTGACAGGCTGTGGGTGCTGTCAGTAAGTCAGAGCAGGATGAGATCTGCCAGTGATCTGCTTTTTAAGGGAGGAGCTAGAGCAGGATAGTGCTGGAGGGATTAGGAGGCCGTTGGTTCAGAGCAATCCACTGACCCTTTCAGGGTTGGACTTGGGTAAAGTACTTCATTATCTGGCCTTGAATATTTAATGGGCCTTTTTGTAAAATGAGGGAGTTGGATAAAACGATTGGGAAGAACAGTGAGATGATTGCATTGTATTCATATAATTTCACCAGAAAATCCTGAAAAATTATGTCCAGCAGTGTCTGAGCATCTTGCTCCCCACCCTCACAAAAGTCTCAAAATATTGTAGTTGTAAATATAAATAATTCATTAGATAAATTGTATGTAACCTATCTTTAATTGCTGACTTCTATTGTTGGTGAGATAGAGCATTTCCCACCAGATAAAAATTTTGTAGTTTATGAAGTATAAAAACTGGCTAATTGGGTAGTTCCTTTTGCATCTTAGAATAATGTAGGACAGGGGATAGAGAGATAGTATAGCAAGTAGTGTTCCATCCCCAGCACTCCATATGGCCCCCTGAGCCCCTGCCAAGAATGACCCCTGGGTGAAGAGCCAGGAGTAAGCCCTGAGCACAGAGGATGTGGCCAAACAAAAGATTAATGACAGTGTAGAACTTTTGATATGAAGAGGACTTCTTCTTAGCTTGCTGACCCCAACAAAACAAAGTATCCCAATTCAGATAATTATATTTCAGTGTGCTCAGCGAATCTGCATGCTTTACAAATGTTATTGGGCAAGTCTTTGTCTTAAAAACCTAATCTCATGCCAGAGAGTGCTCAGCAGGATAGAGCCACATGCTTTGCAAGTAGAAAACTCAGGTTCTATCCCTGACACTGCATAGTCCCTTAAGCAAAGCCAGAAGTGACTCCTCGGTGTTATCCTCGAAGCACTGCTGGATATGGCCCCCAAACAGAGCATCTTAATGCCACAAAATTCAAACTTGAAGTATTCATACATTCGATTATCAGAACAGATTAATATTAAATGACTGGCTTTTTAAGCAAAAGAAAAAAGTCAGTTTACATTGAACATACTACAGTTACTATCATATGATGCTGAATTAATGCATTCCTGTCATTTTTGCTTCATTTGTTATGTACTTTTCACCAATGGAACCTTTTACTTTTAACTTTTCCTGTCAATAGTTACAGTATAACAATAAACTAAAACTGATAGAATGTCTAATGTTTTTCAGAAACTGCTTGCCTTTCCCTGTCTGATCTGGTGGCTTGTGGTCAACCGGACAGCATTCATTCTAGGATATTTTATTGTAAGCCTGAACTTCACCCCATTGGTGTGTGAGATAGTTAATTCCTCTGTTTTAGAGAGAGTGTCATGTAGTTAATTTTAGGGTGTAGATTCCAGCAGTGCTCAGAGGCTGGTCCTGGTGGTGCTCAGGGGACCATGTGGTAGCATGGATTGAACCCTGGCCTTCTGCTTACAGGCATGTCATTCAGCTCTTGACCTCTCTCTTTGGCTCTGGAGGGGGGTTTCAGAGCAAGTCAAGTTTATTCTTTCTCCTGCACAGCTCCTGCTCAGGAGTCACGTTTTTCAGTCATAAATAAATTATCGCATGTCTTCTGGTTTCCAGCCGATTAAGATATTGTCTACTTATTTGATGTTATAGATGAGCTATGGGTGGACTCCAACTGTGTACAGATTTACATGTTAAGGTTCCCAACCTCATTGAGGGAAAGGCCCATTCATTAATTCTTTTTCTTTTCTTTTCTTTTCTGGTAGGCTTTGAGAGTAATGGCTAAAATCATGAGAGAATGCTGGTATGCCAATGGCGCCGCTAGGCTTACAGCCTTGCGGATTAAGAAGACTCTGTCACAGCTCAGCCAGCAGGAAGGCATTAAGATGTAAGGCTGCGCCTGTGCTTGAACTTGCCTTTCCCTTCACATCTGCTCCTGGGTGTAATCCAGACGGTCGCTTGTTCTACCTCACTGAGAGGGAACAGAGGATATTGCTTCCTTTCACAAGGGTGTGATGAGGCCAACTGAGAACTCCCCAGGATTTCTTTGGACCCAGGAAACCAGCCGTGTGGGTCCTTCCTGTGCACTATGAACGCTTCTTTCCCAGGACAGTTACAAAATGTCGTGTAGTCTACCTTTATTTTTTATTAACACAGAACTTGTTTTTTAAAAGATGATTGCTGGTCTTAACTTTAGGTAACTCTGCTGTGCTGAAGATCATCTTTAAGGGTAAAGGAGCTGGATTGCTGTTATACAAAACATTTCTTATTTTTAAAGAAAGTGATTTACTCCTGGTTAGTACATTCTCAGAGGATTCTGAACCACTAAAGAGTTTCCTTGATTCAGACTTTGAATGTACTGTTCTATGATTTTCAGGATCTTAAAACTAATACTTTAAAAACTCTTATCTTGAGTCTAAAAATGACCTCATATAGTAGTGAGGAACATAATTTATGCAATTGTATTTTGTATATTATTATCGTTCTTTCACACATTCAGAACATTACATGCCTTCAAAATGGGATTGTACTATACCAGTAAGTGCCACTTCTGTCTTTCTAATGGAAAGTAGTAGAATTGCTTAAAGTCTGTGTTTCTTAACACCTGTCCATCATGTTTTCATTCAAAAAGTTTTGTTTATCTGGTTAACCCAGAATTTTTTCTGTCTCATTTTTTGGGAAAGGTTTATGTGGTATGTCATTCAGTACTCCATGGTTGAAAATGCCTTTCTCCTACCAAAATGTGCTTAACCACTAAAGAAATGAAATGGCATTAATTGGTAAATTAATATGGTTATATTTGAATATTTTCACATCAGGCTTTTGCATTTGAGTTGTGTTATATAAGTATACTTTAAAAATTCAAGTGGCACTGTTAGACACTTATAATTACTTTTAATAATTTAAAATTTGTTGCATATGGACTAATTTTTCTCAAATGGAAAGTTGGTGTAGATGCTTGTGAAAAACTGTGGCATCTGAAGGTCATTTTCTTCTCTATCTGACCAGAGACAGTGTTTTTCTTTTAAGAAATGAATAACATTTAAAAATTGAATAGGCTTTTTCCTTGAAAAGATAGTTGATTGTTTGAGTAGCTGACAGGTGTGCAGGAGAGTCATTCATTACATGGCGGTCTGTGTTTGGTGGGTTTTTCTGTCTTTAACTGAAGCTAGAGTTGGGGTGTTTTGAGGTTTCACTTCTCTTGGAGGAAAGAGGAAGGCAGCTTTTATTTTAACTCAGTCTCCTGTGTGCAAACTCTGCACTTGCCTCACTTCTGTGGGCACGTGATGGGTTCGTTGAACCCCTGGGATCTGAGAGAGTGGTAGCTAATTCTGAGGAGAGATTCTTTCTCTATTTTATAGATGATTTGGTCAAATTAAATGTTTAAGCAAGCTTGTCATGTCTTCTCATATTGTGTGTAAATGAGCTCGGAACGATTGGTTTGTACTCCAGTGCTCGAAGTCCTGTATCATCTTTAATGTGGTAAAACAATAACAATAACAGCAGCAAAAACTGCCTTTGCTGTGAGGCTTGGATAGTGCTTTTAATTTCTCAGTGAAAGGGTCATACTGACCTATTTAGGACTTCGGTCAGTAAGAGGTAGTGGCTATTTGCACTGAGCTGCTTTCTGATGTCTTATTACTTATGGGTAAATAAGTTTGGAACCCTTATTTGGTCTTAATGCCAAAGTAATTTTAGAATGAATGACATACTGCATAGGAACTTAATGTCAATTTCATTAAAGACATCATGGGGCAAATGTGGTAGAGGTTAATATTCCCCCCCCCCCCCCCCACACACACACACTGGCAAAAAGGAAATAATTTTATTAAAGTAGATATAGAACACTTGTTTGCTCAAATTTTAATACTGCTTTTCATAGTTTGTGAAACAATTTCAATCTAAAAGCACAGTGAAAAAAGTAAACCTTATAAAGACAGTAAATTGGTTATTTTAGATGTTTCACAAGTAGCTTGTTATCTCATCCATGTGCTGGAGATTTCTGCACAGTGCAGAGAATGGTGTGGCCGGGCAAAATTGTTGTTGTCGTAATTGTTGACGTTGTCCCCGGTCCCGTCGAGAGCTGCCTTGGACATCATCTCCACTTTCATCTTGAGGTCCTGATTCTTTCTTTGGAGGTCCACAATCACGGAATTCAGGAAATCAATCTGATTCTCCTGGGCCCTTTCGTCCTCATCTGCTTGAGAATCAGAATTACCTGCCGAGCTCTGGAGCTGCCTTTTGTTCTCTTTGAATTGAAGCTCCAAGTTTTTGACCTTGAGCTCGAGCTTCACCTTGTCAGATTCCAGGGATTGAACAACTGAATGCAAGGACTGGGCGGAGGCATTTTCTCCCCTGAGCAAGGAGACCTGCAACACAGGGGTATCGAGGTTAATATTTTGACTATAAATTTGAGGATGTTTTTCCTTGCTGTTACCATGGTTTTTTATCATAGCATATGAATGCATTTGAGGTTTTTTTTTTTTATAATTGTGTTACATTTCCTGTTTAATAATCTCTAGCTTTTTGATCAGGTACTTTTTTTTAAAAGCCATTTCTAAGCCTACCAGATTTGCTTTATGAAATTCAGGGGACCAATGCATTTTGTCACTAAAACTTATTTTTTATAATTTTAAGAACATACCAAAAGTTCTCGTCTGATTTAAAGTTGTGATACATGATTTATCACCTTAACAAAAGGTAAACAGCTTTTGCTGAAGATATTATTTACTAAATCAAAGATCGAGTTACAATTTCTTGCCTGCATAGTTAAAATATACTTTTGGTTAATCAGGGAATATTTTTGGGTTGGAAAATAGTTCTTAATTGGATTTACATATTTATTACAGCTAATTTTTTGACTAATTATGATTGATAAACCCCAAGTGACTAATATTGAAAATGAAAGTGACTAAAAGATAAAACGTATCATGACTGTTGTGACCATATCTGCAGAGAAATTTGACAAGAATATTTTTAGTTTTGTCATTTAAAACAGAATCCTTTGTTTATACTGTCTGCCTTTAGATACATACTTTCCAAGATTCATTTGGCCAATATATACCTTCAGGCTCATTGTTTTTCCATACAGATATTTTGTCTATACCTTGAAGGCAAGGATATGGGGAGGTTTGAGGGGTGCAGACATCCCTGATTTGTTCTTCACATCTTCAGATCTGTTTCCCACCTGCCTTCCTGCTGATCCTGATTCAGAGACCACTCCCGCCCACCACTTTCCCTTGTCCATGTCCCTCGTGGCCTTTTAACTGATAATTGCTTTTGATACTAAGAGTGAAATAGTTAGTGGACATTGTGGGACTACACCCTTTCCTTAATTCACTGGACATGGGGGGTGGGGGGAAGTATAGGTTTGGCATTGAGTGGTTAATGCCCCCTCCTGGCTGCCATGGCCCAGGAGTAGGATGGCTACAAGATAGCAGCCATGATGATGGGAGTTAGCCCAGAAGCAGTGGCCAGTTATATCCCTTATAGGACACAGTAAGACCCAAAAAGCTGAGCCTATAATTCTGCTGTGACAACGGTGCTCAAGAAGTGCCTTGAGTTGTTGTATAGTGCCATGGTCATTAAGAACTGAATTGTTCAGTTATTGCAAGAGTAAAATGGTCACAATATCATTTAGCAGGTCATACATAAGTTACCTTTTTTTTCTTTGTCAGAGAAGTATCACATAGAAAATTGTATAAAATGAGATGGTGTAGTGCGGAAGTGCGTGGCAAAATCAGTATTCTGTTTGACATATCAACAATTGATTTTTATCCTTGCACTGAAGGAGTGATTGTGAGTCAGCTATTTCTTTGGCTTCTTGATCGTGGGTGTTCTGGCTCCCAAGGGTAGAGATTCCAAATAATGGTTCTTTTACAACTTTGTAGAAATGCCTGCTCAGGTACCCCTAAGATCCTGAAGAACAGCTCTGGATGTGCACTGCAGCTTTTCATGTCAGTTTTGGAATGCTGGAATACCTGGGCACACCTCTAGAACATTCTGAGGGTTGACAGTACATTAAAAATTTTAAATCTCATTATGCAATCTTATTTGTAATATACTTTAGAAAGGTGGCTAATAGCATTCAATCTGTTGCTTCAGAAGAACTTAGGTTTTTGTTTTGTTTGTACTTTTTAACAAGATTTGTGAATTATCATGAACCATGTTTGATATCCCTTTTTCACTTGTGCCATTGGAATGGGGTGTTTGGTATTCCTTTATATGTCAAGGAAATGCTTCAAAATGTCAATTGCTTTAAACTTAAATTACCTCTTAAAAGACCAAGGTACATTTACCTCATTGTATATATAATATTTAATATTTGTCAGCACATTCTGCAGTTTGCAGTTTTACTTCTATAAAGTTTGAGTATTATGTTGCTGAATTACTCAATGGTACTGTATTGTTTGTTTTTGTACCCCAGATAACATCACCTAGACTCTCTGTTTTATGTACTTGGTTGTATTTGTGCAGAATTCTTATGGCTTTTTCAGCGTAACCTCTGCCCTTTCAGATGTGTACAGGAAATGTCCATATGAATTTCATTTTAGTTGAATGATTTTGAAGTCTGTAAAGAGGAAAGAAAACAAAAACTGCAGATCCCCATAAAAGTTTTTAAATGTATATTGTATTTGTAGTAATATTCTGGATGAAGTGTATATAGGAAGTAGAAGAGTGATGCTTACGTCAAGTCCTAACACTACAGTAGAAAGATGGAAGCAATGCAAATAAATCACCTTTTTTTCCCAAACCTTAGTTTAGTGGCCTCATTGAATATTGTGTGTGTGTGTGTGTGTGTGTGTGTGTGTGTGTGTGTGTTGGCATGAGCTGTGCTCTAGATGGGAACCCTGGGATGACTGCCCAGTGTACAGCAGTGTATTGTCACCTGCTGAAGAAAGTCCTCCTCAACTCCCCACTTGCTGCACAGTGCTCTTGCTGCAGGCTCCATTCCACATGCTCTGCAGTCTCCTCTGGTGGATAACTATGGAGCTCCCTAGTGATGAGTTTATGTTAAAACAGTGTTACTATTTTTATTCCTAAAGTTTTTCAATGATTTTTGGAAAATGGAGTTTCTTCTTTTCCCCTAATTTAAAGATTTGTGTGGATGGGAATAATTTATAGAAGTAAAATTTTTAAAAGTAGATTTGTACAGTCTCCTGGGAGTGAGAACTTGCCTGATAAGTTGAGATGTGGTCACAAACCTGGGATTGCTCTCAAATTAGAGACTAGTCATCTTAAGTCAGACTGAATTTAGGAGTTTGTCCTTCCTTCATAATAAAGAAGCTTAGCACCAAGATGTAGAGCTTCTGTTGGAAGTGTGTGTGGAGGGGTTGGGTGGGATTATTTTTAAACATCATAAATAGCAGGATTATCTGTATATAGGACTGTTTTGCCTTGAGTGTATCCAGATTTGGAAGAGTAATTTTTACATATATGACCTAATGGGCATATTCTGCTGTTCTGAAAGTATTTTTTAAATTCTATAATTAAAGGTAATACGAAACTGAGACTATTTGGACAAATGAGTCGGAACACAAATATTAAGAAAAACTAGAGTTGAGTCATGCATAGTTATTGAAACTGCCTGTTTTTAAGAAAAAGGTGGAAAATACCTTGGAAATTAAAGAGAAGTGGAAAAAGAAACGTAAGACTATATTTCTATTATAAAGGATAGCATCACAGAAAGAAGGGATTGACAACTTGCACAAAAAATATTCTGGTGCTGTACAGAGTGGCCTTGTTCTATCTTTAAAGAAAGGGGTAGCTTTATACTTGTACTTGATAATATTAGGTGTTTTATTACTTTTCTTTAATGTTGGTCACTGTGATTTACAATACTATCAATTATAGGATTTTATGCACACAACATTCCAACATCACATCCTCCACCACAGTGTTTATTTCCCTCAGTCATTACTTCAGCCCCCACCCCTATCTCCCCATCTCCCTCCATTGGTAAATTCAGTTCTAGAGACCAGTTCAGATTCTGTGGGTTTTGACCCTTCCTTATTCCCTTACCATGCTTTATATCCCACACATAAGAAAGATCATGCTGTATTTTTTCCTGCCTGACTTCACTCAGTGTATACCCTCCAGTTCAGTTTGCATAGCAGAAAATAGCATGGTTTTGTCTTTTATGGCTGAATAGTAGTATAGAAATCATTGTGTAGATCTACCATAGTTTTTTTTTTAATTATTTTATTTTTTAAATTTAGTTTATTTATTTTGGCTTTTTGGGTCACACCTGGCAATGCACAGGGGTTACTCCTGGCTCTGCACTCAGGAATTACTCCTGGTGGTGCTCAGAGGACCATATGGGATGCTGGGAATCGAACCCAGGTCGGCCGCATGCAAGGCAAACGCTGTCCGTACCTGCTGTGCTATTGCTCCAGCCCCTCTACCACATATTTTTTATTTACTGTCTATTGATTATCCATGAGAGAGACCATTATAAAGCTGTTCAGGATTGTGTTTGAGTCATACAATGATCCAACACCCACCCCTCCACATGGCAGTGTACATTTCCTACCACCAGTTTCCCCAGTTTCCCTCCACCATCCTCCCACTCCCCAGTCTGCCTCTGTGACAGGTACTTTTCTTCTTTCTCTCTTTTTGTGCATTATGGTTTGCAATACAGGTACAAAGAGGTCATTGTGTTTGTTCAGGGCGGTCAGTATTGTTATTGGGAAGGTAAGACTGGCGTAGCTTTTTGAACTGGGTGGGAGCTCTGGGGTGTGACCGCCGAAGCTTCCAAAAGTACAAGGAGATG